CCTCGGCCCTAACATACTTCTCAATTCTGACCAACTTTAGTCTGATCTTGTGTGTTTCCTTTTTATCTTCTGGGATCTGAGATCTGCTCATCGTGCTCTTCTCTTCTCGGACTTTAGAAAATTAAGATTAAGATATTGAAATTCCCACAAGGTTTCGGGATTAGAAACCCCATTTTCCTCATATATAGATATAGATAGATATAGATATAGATATAGAAATAGATATAGATATAGATATATACTAGTGATAATCCGTGCTATGCACGGATATTTATAAATTTTAAAAAAAACATTTATTATGATTATGTTGAAGTAATTTAATATTTTATCTTCCAATATATATGAAATTTATAAGTTAGCTTTTATGTTTATAACTTTTTAAATTATTTGTTTAAAATATATATATATATATATATATATTTAGTGAAATTTTGATAATTTGTATTAAAAAAAATTAAATCTAATTAAATGAGATTAATTGAGTTATGACATACCTCTTCTTGTTATGAAAATATATAAATTTAAAAGTTATAATTAAAACAAATATATAATTTTATTATTAAATATGAAGTGAAGTGATATTTAATAATAATTAATATGATATTTCTATTATTATTCCAATAATTTAAGTTATATTTCTTTTGATTTCAATTTCATAACTAAAAATACAATATGAATATAATACACACACAGATTTCTAGTCTTTATGAATAAGAAGGTTTCAAAATATTTTCAAACTTTCATCATTTTCTTTTGTTTTTTTTTTTTTATCTAATTTGATTTTAAATTTGAATAAAAATTTTGATTTGATATGAATTACTTTAACTTTTTCATTCAATTTTTATCAAATTTTTAAAGAACTTTCATTCTTATCCTAATTTTTTTTTTCACCAATTTCGATGGAAAAAAATAATAATTTTCAACGTTTCATTTTTAAAATTTTTTATCAAATTATAATTTGATAAAAACACATATTACGGGTTGAAAACTCTCTTAATTGGAATTATAATGAAATAACATCTTAAAATAATCAAAGTTTGAGTATGTGGTTGGTTGAAATATATAATTTAATTAAATCTCTTGTCATATTTGTATAAAAATTGACACTTATGACTACATCATTATAAGTTGAATTATGGAAAAAAATTTGGGGTGTCAAACATTTTCCATTTGTCAATATCCTACATATTAAAAAATGAAAAAAAAAAGAAAAAGAAAAAAATATGTAACTTTTTTATATGTGTTTATCAGTTTTGTTTAATGGATATAAACAATCAATGTTTTAATTTAAAAAATTAAAAAGTAAAAAAAAAAATAGATTGAGTTTTTTAGAGATAAAAGAAACTATCTAACTCTTCTATATACTATTAAGATGGACTATTTTGATGATATATATCCAAAAAATAGATAATTATTAATTAATTTGTCACATTAAGTGATTTAAAATTTTGATAGATATACATCAAAAAAATAGATAATTATATTACTAAATTATAATTCAAATTTAGATGTTGTTGTATCTTTTTGAGATCCATAGCTAAATTATTATCTTCTTATTTTCGTGTGTAACCATAATGTATAAGAGAAATTGAAAAGGATGCTGCAGTAATTATGAGAGAAGCCAAAAAGGTTTGTGGGTTGGAAGAAATCAATAAATGCTGAGGGTTTTTTTTTTAAATCAAAAAATTAGAAAATTAGGATTAGGATATTGGAAGTCCCACAAAACTTATAGATTAGAAACTCATTTTTCCTTATATAATATACTAGCATGTCACCCGTGCTATGCACGAGATAATTATAATTATTTATATTTGTTTTAGATTTTTTTAATATATAAATTATGTTTTTTAAGATTTTTTATAAAAGTAATTTAGCATTTTTATCACTAATCATAGTGTATGGAAGAAGTTGAATTTGAATCATATTTACCTCTTTACTTTTTATACTCCATCCATTATGAAATAATAGTCCATTTTAGAAATTTTACTAACTTTTTTTGATTGTGCAATTATTGCATTTTAAAAATATTAATTTTTTTAAATTGCACTTTGATAATATATATTTTTTAAATATCAATTGTACTTTTTATATTATTAATGAATTTAAAATAAGGATAAAATAGTAAATTTATATTATTTTATTTTTTATTATTTTAAAATATTAAAAAAATTAAAAAATAAAATAAAAAACTAACATTTTAAGGAAAAAAGAAAACGCCTTTACATAATAAGTAAAAAAAATCAATTTATTTCACACTACCCAAATAAGCCCTAATTAATTCATCATTAATGCAATTTACCTCCTCACCCCAATGGATAACTCCCCCCGAGTCCAGATCCTCTGTCATAGTTTTCTACAATTCTTCCTGCCGTGGTTCCGAAACGACGTCGTTTTGATGTTAAATTCAATTTTTTGTTTTCCTCTTTTTTCCCATTCTCCCTCAATCGTTAAGACAACCAGCCTAACCCCTCAAGAGAGAGCCGAACTCAAACAGTTCCTCTGGCGCAGAGGAGGGTGGGCAACGACAACTCCGGAGGTGACAGCAGCTGCAGCTAGGCGAGGTGAGGCGGCTGTGAGGTCTCCTCTTCTATCTTCATTCTCATGTGGTGCTTAAATATGTATGTATATATATATGGTTTATATGTATATATATGTATATGATTTCTTTATTTGAATTTCTTTTTGATTTCTTAAATGGGTTTTGTTTAAGTTGTTTGATTTCTAAGATTTTATGGGTTTAATTTCTAGGGTTTGAACTCTTGTTGATTCCGTAAATGGGTTTGTTTTCTAGGGGGTTTTCCCCCCTATTTTCCCCTTTACAATTTCTCCTTCCAAAAAATAGGAATCCAAAGATCAAATTGTATGTATGATTTTTCATTTGAGCATATCAACTTTTGATTATCCAAATCACTTTGTGTCTATAAAAAAAAAAATCTGCGATTTCCCCCATTACATTGTTTGAACAAGAGGGACCTGATTGAGACTTGTTAAAGAAAATATAATATGCTTTTTCCTATAATATTTTTCATATATGATTTGTAATTTTTCATATACTTTTTTTCAATTGATTCTTTGTAATTTCTGCATTAGGATGCATTGGGCATCTTCCTAATTACATCTTGCTGGTATATTTTTATTGCAGGAAACGCCTTTTTAACATGATAAATGATCTTCCAACAATATTTGAAGTTGTGACAGGGACGGCCAAGAAACAAGTGAAGGAGAAGTCATCAGTCTCATATCACAGCAATAGCAAATCTAAGTCAAATTCTAAGGTAGTAAAGGATTTCTACTATTCTAATTTTTCAATCCCACTACATAAACGGAAGTTGTTGGTTAGATAATTTTGGTTTGTTGTGCATTACTTAAACAAGATATGGTTTGTGTTGTCAAAGTGGCACATAATATGTGTATGTAGTTAGGCCTCAATGAATTGTGTTAGTATAATGTTCATTTCTTAGTTCACTGTTTAATTAAGCTGATTCACAATTGTTGTTTTTAATGAATGAAATTGTTATATGTCTCAAAACAGAGCAGTTCAATTTTTTCCACTTCACATGAGTGTGTGTGTGTGTCATTGGAAATTAATTTTGTTAAACCTATAATCATGGACATTAGGGTTGAAGCCATAGACACAATATTGATGAGTTTACTGTGATGTGTAAATTTGAGCTTGTTTTTTTTTTCTTCTTGTTGCAGGGTTGAAGCCCAACAAAGTGTACTATTATCAATGTGGAGACCCTTGTATACTAGCAATGAGTAATGTGTCCTACAAATGCAATACAAAGAAGTGATGGAATTATAAGAGAAAGAGTTGTGCTACTGTAATTATTATTATTTTAATTATGAAGAAGTAACTATGTTTCAATGTTGTAATTGACTAATTTGATTTTTGAAATGGTTGGGAATGTAGAACTTTTGAAAATTGTGAAATCTGAAAATGTTGTTGATATTATTGAAATAGTTGGGAATTTAGAAATCTGAAAATGTTGTTGCTACTTCTATATTGCAACTACTATTGGCATTCAATATTAAAAAATCTAAACTTTTATTGATGCCCTTATTTTGTCTTTTACAGATTTTGGATGTAAAGGGAGGAAAATGAGAGAGGTAAAGGTGAAGATAGAAAGATAAAAGCAAAGGCCAAAGATATATGACAGAGTAAATTTTTTAATAAAACAATGATATATAACAAACTTGTTCTACAAATCTCATTCAGTCCCAATCAAAATTGCATAAAAATATATGACAGACTAAATTTTTTTTTATCAAACAATTTCCTAGGACTCATTTGATCTATACAAAATGACTTTATCAATCTCTTAAAAGACTGATTAGATCTATATAATATAACAATACTCAAATTTGCAATTCCATTAATACAATAAAAGAAGAAAAATGAAAAAAATAAAAGCTATGAAAATGATATTTTCCAAAATTGCTTCGTTTCAAATGATTATCATCAGAAGATTGTTTCAACTAGGTAGCATCAGTAACTTAAAAGAAACATGCTCGGAGATTAGCAACGATGACGCATGATCATGAAATGAATTGATGACGATGAATCATAGTTGATATGAGAAGCAGCAATCCATATGCAGATGGTCCATTCCGTTGCTATCACAGAGTCATCAAGACTCTATAGAGAAAAGAAACAGGGTTTTCATGGCCGCATAGAGTATGTTCCACTGTCAAATTACCTTGGTTGGGCACCTGCATTCAATGATTGAAGTGAAGACGAGTCAAAAAATGAAAATTTTCAATGATCAGCGAAAATCATTACTTTGCTTAGTATACTTTAGAAAAACATATATTGGCATGTCAACGGGTTTATATCGAATCATACCCGTCTCTTAGTCAATCTATCTTACCAAGTCAAAAATCATAGCAACACTAACACAGACACAACCATAACCATAGATGTGAAACTATCTTACACAATTTGCATTACAGTAGTACTAGTTATATTGGATATTTCATTATATCATATATATGTGAAAATGATAACGTTTCACTTCATTACGTGAAAATTGAATAAACAGAACTTCATTCTTATGGGACCTCAATACCTGCAATATTTTGAAAACAGCACAACATGTAAAATAGTTCAACAAAAGAATTATACATTATCTGCATTGCAAAACATTTTTGTTTGTCATGAAAATGAAATGATCACTTGAATATTAATCCTATATACATATCTGATATAGTTTTGACCAAGTGGTGTAAAATCAACATAAATTCTTCTAATATCTAATATAAATACATAAATCCTCCTAATATCTTAATCATATATGCATATCTGATATAGTTTTGAACAAAAAGAATTCCACAACATAATTCTATGAATTCTCTTCAGAATTCAAGAAGCCCTTAGAAGGAAAATCAAACAACAAAATACAAATTTGATATAAAAAATTAATCAAATCGATGGAGAGTTTTAATTCATCAGTAACAAAGAAAAAATATAGAACTCAACTCCATATGAACACAAGACCTGCCTCATCAACTTCAAGATTATTCAAGTATCATTCAATCCCTTGGACTAATGAGTCTGTAATATTTACATTTGGACTGATGAATCCCTTGTATATCAGACCCATATTCTTAAAGATACAAAAACTCTAAACAACTTTGACAAATTTATTTTTTTATACTATTTTCATTTTGGGATAAAAAATCATTGGTTTGAGGTTTTCAACAGGTTTCCATAATCATACAATCAAAAGGTTTTCATAACATAATCATATAGTCAAAACAAAGACCCAGATAAATTATTATATCAAACAACACCATTCAAGCCATAAAAATTGAAAAACCAAAGCCCCAATTGAAAGCAAACATGATCAGATCGATCACCTAAAACAACATAAAGCATATCTGAAACAAGCAGACTCACATCTGTTTGCTCTCAAGGATGGAAAAAAAAAAAGAGAGAGAGGAGGAGGAGGAGGTTGAGAAAGATGAGAGATAGAGGAGGAGGAGGAGGTTGAGAATCCATTACCGTCGCCTCGCCTCCACCGCAGCATCGCATCGCCTCGCCGCCATCGCCCTTCTTTTCATTTTGTATCTCTGTTCTTGCTCATCGAGTGGGTTAGGGCTCTCAGACTACCTCAAAGAGAGAAGACAATGGGGAAAAGAAAAGAAAAGAAAAGATGAAAAAAAAAAAAAGAGAGGACCAAAACGACGTCGTTTGGGAACCACGGCAGGAAGAATTGTAGGAAACTATGGCAGAGGATCTGGACTCATCTACCCCCCAATCTCCTTCATAGACTTCACACAACCCATCTTCTCTCTCATCAAAACCTCATATCAAAACCCTCTAAAAAAAAAAACCTCTATTATATATATGAATAACTAGCATGTCACCCGTGCTATGCACGGGATAATTATAGTTATTTATATTTGTTTTAGATTTTTTTTAATATATAAATTATGTTTTTTAAGATTTTTATAAAAATAATTTAACAATGTTATTACTAACCATAGTGTATGGAAGAAGTTGAAAAAAGTACTGCAGTAACTATACACGAATTGTATCTATAATTATTTGCATGAGGGGATTTTAAATGCTGATCAAGGGATTTTGACCAAATCAATAAATGTAGGCATGTGGAAAGATATGTGGATTAAAAAAAATTAATAAATTTTGATCAGGAGATTTTAACCAAATCAATAAATGCTGAGTTTTTTTTTTTTAAATAAAAAATTTAGAAAATTTAGATTGAGATATTTAAGCTCCCATAGACCTTGGGGGTTAAAAATCCCTTTTTGCTTAATATATAGTATAGATATATATCTATATATATATATATATATGACTTCCCACAAAAGGACAATTTTCATATTATTAACATTTAAAGTCTAGAATCATTAACAGATTTATTTTTGGGCAAATTATAAATATATTTATTAAAAATACAGATTTTCCTCTTATATTTGAAAATTACATCTTAATAAATGGTCCTCAAACAAAGAAAGGAATTGTTTGATAGAAGCTGCAAATGACTTCCCACAAAAGGACAATTTTCATATCATTAACATTTAAAGCCCAGAATCATTAACAGATTTATTTTTGGACAAGTTATAAATATATTTATTAAAAGTACAGATTTTCCTCTTATATTTAAAAATTACATCTTAATAAATGGGCCTCAAACAAGTAAAGGAATTGTGTTGATGGAGGCTGTAAATGACTTCCCACAAATGGATAATTTTCATATCATTAACATTTAAAGCCTAGAATCATTAACAGATTTATTTTTGGACAAGTTATAAATATATTTGCTAAATGTACAGATTTTCCTCTTATATTTGAAAATTACATCTTAACTCTTTTATTAATCAATTATTAAGTTAAATTAACAAAATATACAACGTATTTTTAACAAACTTCATAGGTGTGTTTGTAATTTATTAAAAATTCCTATTATAGATGTAGACCATAATACCCTTGCTAAACTACCTTTCTCAACCATGTTGTGTTGTCCTTTTAACACAAGGGCATATCATGAACCCCAAAAAGAGGCCCATTCATGCAAGGGTGGTCATGATACCCAATGAACACGTGATTGAAAACTTGGTGGGCCATCACAGCATATACTTCACCCATAAGAACCATTGGATCATTGATTTTTTGATCAACAACTTGGATGAGTGGTTTTGGCCTATTTTGAGGAGTGAATTAAAAGTCATTTTTCAGTTTTTAATTTACTTTTTTCTCTCATAAAATAGTCAAAAAATAATTAATCGTCTTCCTAAAGCACCCTTTTATGGTCAAGATTGCTTTTATTATTGGTGTTAGTTTAGTGTCCTATTATGATATATAAAATAAAATAAAATACAATTCAGTGAATTTTTTTTTAAAAAAAAAATCGTATTTATAAAAAAAATTAAGAATTTAATTATTAATATTTACCATTGATTTGTAATTTTTTTTTAAAAAATTATTGCTCACTTGATTTTTTTTTTTAAAAAAAAAAGAAAAAAAAAAGTAATGTTTATTGAAGTTATGGTAAACACTAGACACACACTATCGTATCTAAAAGGTCTTCCACTTCCAAATATGCATGCCGAGGGGAGGGGGATTTAGATCCTCTCCAACCATCTTCCCTCCAACAGTGGTCCAGCAGTTTCAGCAGATGGCGACGCGTGGTGCACAAGGGTTAGAATCTGCCACGTCACAAGAGATAAATGAATTAAGTTAGAGACCTAGAGACGACGTCGTTTTTTCTTAAAACGGAGGCTCATATCATAGATAGCTCCACTGATCATCACATCAAATTTGGCCTAGGTCCTCAAATCTCTAAAACAAGGACGACCGAAGAAAAGAACAGAGCATCAGCGGCAGAAAGATAGCCGTCGCCGGAAAAGAAGGTGAACTTTGGGCCAATTCTTGTATCGTAATCATTTTCTCATCTGGGTCTGTGGTTTGGGCTGAAATTGAAGTCTAATTTTGCACTAATTTAAGTTCAATTTAGAGAGAGACAGACGAATGTTATGGTAAAATTAAGAGTGATGGTTCTGAACGTGAGAAAATTATAAGTGAAGGTCCTGAATTCTTGGGTAGTTTCTTGGCAAATTTGTCAATCCAATTGTCTCTCCTTTAGCATGTACTTGAAACCCAAATCAAAGAAAAGCCAAGAAACCAAGAGAAATTGAGAGACCCAAATGAGAAAATAATTGCAAAACAATAATTTGTCAAAACCCATATGAGCTTGCTGAGGGAAAATTCTTATTCAATAAATTAAAAAGTTATTATTATTTATCAAAAAAATATTAAAAAATTAATTTTACACGCAAAATTACAATTCATCAATTTGATTGCAACAGATCT